CCCCCCCCCCCCCAACCCCCACCTCCGCCTCTACGGAGGAGGATGGTGCAAGCAGGCTTCACAACGCCCAGGGCAGTACTGGTCAGGACTCATGAGATCTTCCTAATTAGGCATGGGGGCTGCCGGCTCTCCTGGGCTTCAGGCAAGGCCCTCCCTGCCCTTGAGATGGGGGAGGAAATTCCGAGCGCAGAATAGGAGCTGACCCCTTGCCCACCTGTCAGGCAGGCACCAAATTTCAAAACTGCCTCTCTTTCAAGCTTTTCAACACTTCACAATATTTTGACATGGGAAGGAAAGAAAAAATGGAAATGCTTTAAAACATCTTTCTTCCTTGGATTCTTGTTCTCAGACCACGTGACTGAATTGAGGCTTAGTCATAGGATTTCAGTTTAACATATGCAGTTACTATAGCAATTGAGGTTTCCTTAGTAACAGTTGCAAAAATAATCCGGCCCCAATTAATAATACATTTTAAAGCTCTTTCTACTCCACACTGAACAACCCAGTTTTTTGGACAAGAACCAGATAATTCAGGTGGTATCATTTGTGCTGATATAGATATCATTTGCATGTGGTGAATTGGGTTGGAAGGGAATGAAAAGGGAGCTCGTTGTTTCAAGTATTGTAGGAATCAGATCTGAAAAATCGACTGGCAAGCTAAGTGCATCTAGTTTGCGGAGCTGGGAAGCTTACTGGTAAACCCTGCCCTGGATTCCTGTGTGCCCTGGAGGACTTTGTGTGTTTGAAGAAGGGTGAAGGCAGGGGACTGGGCTTGTTCACAAGAAAGATGAAAAGAAGGGTGGGGTGTGGGACGTAGGATTTCTCTCTCATGTTGGTGTGTTTTTTTTGTTTTTGTTTTTTTTTTACAGAGAGGGGAAGAGGGGGTGGGGGAGAGAGGGGCAGAGGGAGAGGAAGAGAGAGAATCTTAAGCAGACTCCAAGCCCAGCAAGGAGCCCTTCGCTGGGCTTGATCTCGTGACCCTGAGATCATGACCTGAGCCAAAATCAAGAGTCAGACGCTCGACCCACTGAGCCACCCAGGCGCCCCTCATATTGGTGTGTTCTTGTTGGCTTGGGAAGGTCTGTGGGAATGTGAATTCAGCAGTCATTTGTGAGGAGTGTCTCCTGATTCACCACTGAGTTACTTGTTCTTAGAGTTGCTTTTGCAGCAACAGCATTGCGTATCAGATCCCCCTGTCCCTTGGCTTGCTGAATCCTCTCTGCCATCCAGAATGTTTATCTGTGTGTGACCAAGGTGTCCCAAATGACTGTCTGGGGCTTTCAGAAATTTCAGTTGTGGTGTGAAAAGCTGCTTTCGCTGTTAGCTCCCTAGGAGGAACTTGGAGCTGCGTCTTTTTCCTTTTTTAAAAAACTTTTTCAGTAGGGGGACAGTAGTGGGTAGGGAAGAAGCAGAGCCAGGTATCATACGGATGGAGTGGGTATGATCCCAGGTTACCTTCATAAGATATATTTCCTTAGACCTTGGCTTCTTGCCACCTTAAAGGTGAGTCCAGTCATTAATTAGCAGGTAGGGTGGCACTCTGGAGTCTGCCCTCCCTCTGGCTTTGGAGCAGGGCGGCAAGGGGAAGGACACTGGAGTTAGCTCTGTTCTGTCCCATTGCTCACCACTTTCTTCTCAGCCTCCTCCCTCTCTCTGCCCCGAGGAAGATCACCCCTAGCAATCCTTTCAAAACCTGCTACCATATTTCTCTGGCACGCTCTCCCCCACATATCCCAGCAGACATTCGAGTACTTTCTGAAGCCCAGGCACTGTGCCAGGCTCTGGGGGGGTGCCGCGATGAGAACGTCCACTAGGCACGATGGTGGTGTTCTTCGGGGTATCCCTGGCACTTAGCATCGGGAGGGGCACACTTGAAATATTTGCAGACTTCCAGAGAAAAGGTTGATCTCTGCCCTCAGGGCGCCCACAGACTAGGGTGGAAGAGAGACTAAGGAAAAAGAGTCGGAAGATATGTAGAGGGTGCTGATGCCAGCGCTGAGAGGGGCTGCCGGCCCAGGGTGGGAAGGAAGAAGGGGGGGTGGAAAGACGAGTGCACAGAAGGGCCAGAGGGGAGATGGTGGAAGGAGACAGGCAGAGCGGTCAAGCTGAGCAGAGACCAGAGCTCAGGGAGGAGGTGCAGGGGGACTGGGGGCGAGATGAGGGGGGGCTGGAAGGGTGAGTTGTGGAGATGAGCCAGGACAGTTGGGCGAGAGCCAGATCCTGGGGGGACTTTGTACTGTGAAAAGGAATTATTTTTTCCTTATAAGCTATAAGCAGTTGGGAGCCATTAAACTTTCTAAGCAGGGAAGTGATTGGGCAGATCTGAGTTTTCGCGGAGTCCCCTGGAGGCTGCGTGATAGGAGGGGAGGCAGGGAGGAGGCAGGTGGAGGGATGTTGGGGTGAAGCCAGCTCCGTGCTGCCTCCCTCATGCCAAGCCCGGTTGCGTTCAGTCCCCCGGGAGCTGTGTGGGGCGCCGCTGCTGAACTGCCCCACCCCCTTCCTCTGCAGTGACCAAGTTGCAGGTGAGCAAGTCAAAGAGGACCCTCACCCTGGTGGAAAACAGGCCCATCCAGCTGAGCTGCTCTGTCAAGTCTCAGACTAGCCAGAACTCGCACTTTGCCGTGCTGTGGTACGTCCACAAGCCCTCGGATGCCGATGGCAAGCTCATCCTGAAGACCACCCACAGCTCGGCCTTTGAGTATGGCACCTACGCCGAGGAGGAGGGCCTGCGAGCCAGGCTCCAGTTCGAGAGGCACGTGTCCGGGGGCTTGTTCAGCCTCACGGTGCAGAGAGCCGAGGTCAGCGACAGTGGCAGCTACTACTGCCACGTGGAGGAGTGGTTGCTGAGCCCCAACTACGCCTGGTACAAGCTGGCCGAGGAGGTTTCGGGGCGCACGGAGGTCACCGTGAAGCAGCCAGGTAAGGACCCAGGGCGCGGCCGTCCTGGGCTAGTGGCTTTAGTGCAGACAGACTGCCTAGGGGCGGGGGGCGGCAGGGCTCTGTGGGGCCCATGCTGGGGGTGGGTGCAGGCATGCAGACCCTCACCCTAGTGCCGTGCGGACTGCTGGCTTTGCCTCGGGCGCGTCCTGGTGCTGTAGGGCCAACTCAGGAAAGAACCCTCCACTCTGCTGTTAGGGACAGCATCTTCCTCACCAGGTAGTGCCCCAGGGGGCGGCTGTGCTGAGCAAGAGGCCGCAAGGCAGGGTCCCTGAGGGCTCCTGCATCTCCTCCTGGGTTTGCAGGTTGCACCCTGGATCTCGGGCTGGTGCCAGCTCCATACCCAGCATTCTCGCCTGGAAGGCATTTTCTGGTCTCCCTCGTCTGCTCCCCTTTCTTCCTTACCATCCATTTCAGCCCCCCGGGGCGAGAGCCCTTCCCATCTGCAGAGCGGACCACCCCTCAGCCCTGTCTCAGAGCCTGTGGGTGCAGGCCTCATTCTGCTTCCTGACAGACCAGGGCTGGCACCTGACCTCTGTAAGCACGCTTCCAGAGAGGGAGCGCTTCCTACCTCCGCAGGACTCCGTTGCATCCACCGCAGGGCAGCCCAACTCGTTGAAAAACCCTCCTCCACGTAATTTCCCTCCAGGTTTTAGCTCTGCCCCTGGAACAACCCAGAATAAGTTTGGGTCACATCTTTTCATGCATGAAGGGGGCCCCTGTCAGTCTCCCCTTCTCCTTGTTAAAGAGCTCTAGTTCTTTGAACTCCTCACACGATGTGGCCTTTAACTCCCTCTCCATCCCTCATTCCTGCATGGCCTACAATCTATTGTTGCTATCCTGTCCTTCCTGATGGGCTGGGGTGCTCTGTTGTGCCCCAAGTCCCGGCTCCATGCCTTCATTTATCTTGTCCTCTCTGCCTGGAACGCCCCTCTCCTGCTGCTTCTCCCCTGTCTTCACTCCATCCTCAAGACTTCACTCAGCACCACCTCCAGGAAGCCTTCCCTGCTTTCTCCCATATCACCAGAGGTTCCCTTTTCCTTATAAAATACCTCGTGTAATGATTATTTGTTTGCATTTCTTTTCCACTCTACTTTAAGTACTTTGAGGACACGGCTGTGTCTTTGTATTTTCAGCCACTAGTCTGGCACCCTTAATAAGTACCGACTGAATAAGGAACGAATGGCTGCTTCCCTCGAACACCCCAGGGCCTTTGCATTTACTGTTCTCTTAGCCTGGAACATGTTGACCATAGATATTCACTGATCTCCTTCTTTCTCAAAGAGGTGTTCCTAGCTCATTTTAACTAAAATAGCATCCTAGTCACCCTGTACCCCTCTCCCTATCCCCTGCATGGCATACATCACCACCTGGCATTCTGTTTATTTACCTATTCACATGTGAGTAATTATGAACTGCTTATTCATATTTACATTTAAGGAAATGCATTTATTATCAGATATTATATATTACATATAGAAGTAAATGTGCGTGTGCGTGTGTGTGTGTGTATTGTTCACTGTTCTGTTCCTACGGCTTGTCTCCCAGGAGGCCTCGGTAAACATTTGTTCAGACAGCACATGGAACCAGATGCAGAGGCCAGGACGTGAATGCAGTGGGGCCGTTCCCCCTTTCCCCTTGGGACGTTGTATTGCTTAAGACTACACCAGTGCAGGCTTCTCAGCACCTCGCGGTGACACTTACGTGAACCGTTCTGCAGGTGCATTGCCAAGGAAGCTCTCATCTGCATTATCCCTCTTGGTTTTTCCAGAGACCTCAGGCCAGTCCTTGGGGCTTTTGAAAACTGACAGTTGTCATTTGGCCCACAGATGTTCTTTTAAGTTTCTGTTCTTCCTATATGTTTTCGGTTTTGGTCACTTTCTCTGCTGGGCGGACATGATCCCCCACCCACCTCGAGTTCCCCCTTAGTCACCATTCATCCTTTGCCTTTGCTCATTTGTGCAGAAACTAAGAGATTCTCTGTGGATCCTAAATTTATCGAGGGAATTTCCCCATCTGAGACTACAGACTTACAGCGAGCTAAGTGGGCCAACGCACAGGGCTGCACGGATGTTTGTCAAAACGCATTTAGTGAGATCTCTGTTTGTGGGAATACCAGCACTATAAACAGCAAACTCACAGGACACTGATTAAAACAACACATCCCTCCTTTTCAGTGATTTTTTTCGTTTCGTTGTTTTTTTCTCCCCCTGCTTCTAGTTCTTTTTCTCTACACACCACCCCTCTCTTTCTTTTCCCGATGAGAAAGAATATGCTTATAGAGCTTTTGGAAAACACACAAAAAGAGAAGAAAATACTCTTTCAACCCAAAGACAACCAGAGTTAATATCTTCATACATGCACACGCACATGCCCATATATGTACATGTATGTTTTCGGGAGACTGGTTACTTAAAATTTTTTTTAAAGATTTTATTTATTAGAGAGAGAGGGTGAGCAAGGGGAGGGCCAGAGGAAGAGAGAGAATCTCAAGCAGACCGCGCTGAATGTGGAGCCCAACTCGGGGCCTGGTCTCATGACCCTGAGATCATGACCTGAGCCAAAACCAAGAGTTGGCCACTTTACCGAATGAGCCACCCAGGCACCCGTTTTTTCTGTTATTTTAATTTTTTGACCTTTTAATTACAGAAGTTACTGCATTGCATGGTAAAATATTCCAGCAGTTTTGAAGTGTAAAAAAAGTAAAAAGTGCTCTGTGCATGGCCCTCCCCCCTCCTCGGGTATCACTCAGGAAGTGTCCTTCGCCAGGTGCTTCTGTGCTTTTACAGTTTTGTAGGTTTTTGATCCCCCTGGTCCAGATAAGCTCATCAGGCCCTTTTATGAAATTACACGCATGTCGTCAGGGCATACCATCATTAGGGACACTTTTTTCTCTGGAGGAGAATCTGGTTGGCTGAGTTTTCAAGTCACCAGTTCTATCAATACCAGGCTTCTCTTTACTAAGGTGAGATCTGTTCTGTTCCCACTTTGAGAGGGAACCCGAGAAAGTAAGAATTGCAATTCGTAAGGCCAACTCGGGAACATATTTAATGGTCTCATCTGCAGTTCTTTTTGTGGTGGACAGTCCAACATATTCTAGTCATCATGTGGTCAGTTTTCAAAATTTGCTCTTGGTTCGAAAGGGGGTCTCACCTTGTCCTTTTCTGCCTGGCCCTTCCCAGCCAGCCCTCTGGTCAACCATAGGCTCATGGGCTGCTCTCATTTGGATGTGCAGTCATCTATACCTCATGCTTGTCCCCTCCTATGCATCTGAACCGATGAGATAGAAATGGGGGGACGGCTGTTACCATGAACTGCTTGTAATCCATGCACTCAGACGCGTGATCAGGGGACTCAGAATGTGCGTGGAAAGGGTACATGCAGGTGGCCTGTCATTCTGTGAGGCTAATACGTCTTTTCTCGCCTTTCTAGATAGCCGCCTGAGGCTCAGCCAAGCGCAGGGGAATCTGTCGGTCCTGGAGACACAGCAGGTGCAGCTGGAGTGTGTGGTGCTGAACCGCACCAGCGCGGCCTCCCAGCTTGTGGTGGAGTGGTTTGTGTGGAAGCCCAACCACCCGGAGCGGGAGACCGTGGCCCGCCTGAGCCGCGAGGCTACCTTCCACTACGGGGAACAGGCGGCCAAAAACAACCTGAAGGGGCGGCTGCATTTGGAGAGCCCTTCCCCCGGCGTGTACCGGCTCTTCATCCAGAACGTGGCAGTGCAGGACAGCGGGACCTACAGCTGCCGCGTGGAGGAGTGGCTGCCCAGCCCCAGTGGCGTATGGTATAAGCGCGCAGAGGACACTGCCGGGCAGATGGCTGTGACCATCATGCGGCCAGGTGAGGGTTAATGTCCCCAGGCCCTCACTGCTCTGGGTATTTCCCCTCCAAGTGTCATACTTTGTGCGCTGCACAAAATGAGTGTATTAATACATTGTTTGCAGTTAAATTTATGAGCATTTACATTTTGCATTTGCATTCAGGATTGTCTCATATTTTTTTTCCCCTAGTGAATGGAAAATGGCACATCTGGCTTTGGCCTAAAGTGATTCTATTTCTTAACCAGAATAGCATTTTTCGATTAATTGTTGCAGAACACAGAGTAGTTTCTTTTTAAGAGTACATTCCGACTCAGAAGGTGGTGGATATGCAAAAATCTTGAAACAGTAGCCATGTGGTTTAAAAAAAATTAAGCCTGTAGATTTTCAGTGGAAAAGAATTGATTCACATGCTTTAAATAGAAATAGGATGCTTTAAGTAGGAAAAGATGAAATTCAATCTCATTTCCTAATAATTTTGTTGGTACCAGTGACTGCTCTGTGTGGCCTTTCTTGTCTTTGTTGTCATTTCTAAAGTTGCTAAATGCACATAATTACTCGGTATAATTATGATTACCCATTTCAACCCGTAACGAAAGCAGAGGTAGGGCGGATTCCTGGGTCCCCTGCAACATCACATCCTCATCCATCCTGGTCCCAGCAAAAAGTCAGTGGTCCCCCAGAGGACATGGAGCAGAAATGAACCGGTGACCTGCGTCGGTGTGAGCGCTTTGTCTTGTTCGTTTCCCGCGCATCCCGGCATTCCGACCTGTGGTCTGTTGGAAGCATCCGTCACGTTTGCACGTCTCACGAGAGCGGCTCTTTTCGTGGGTGGAGCCTCGCAGCTGTGCCCGCCCCATGTGTCCCAGAACACACTTCAGGAGTGAATATGCCCTTTGTTCCGGGAAAGGGGCGTTAGCTCACTGCTCTGTGTCTTGCCTACACTGGACGGGAAATCACCTCTGCTTTGAGTTACTCATAGTTCCCATGAGCTTTTGTTTTTTTTTCTTTTTACCGTGCCTAGAAACTGCTGCGTGTCTTCTCCCAAACGTGAAATTGTAGAGAGGTGGCAGCTGAGCACTCTTCTCCCCCAACACCCACCCATGTGCACGTCCCCACACTAGGGCTGCAGGGAGACTGGGGCGGGGGGTGGGGCAGACATTTAGGGAGCACCGGCGGCATTCCTGCCTAACATACAGAGAGGAGGCAGAAGCGGACTTTCTTGGGGCTTATACCTGAAACAGGAAAGAGCGCAAAAGTCTGCACAGGGAGGTGGTTTGGCCTATTCTAGAAGGGGACAGACATGGGCAACCAAATTAGTATAGAAATATGTTAAAGGGGGTGGGGTGTGGACAGGTGGACATTAGTTTCATTCAAAAAACTTGCATTGAGTCATTACTGCAGGTGAGGCACTGGAAGAAGCCAGGAAATCTAAATTAAAACTCAAATGCTTAAATAGCAAGCATTCAGGGGCGCCTGGGTGGTGCCGTCAATTAAGCACCGACTCTTGGTTTCAGCTCAGGGTTGTGAGATCAAGCCCTGCATCGGGCTCCGTGCTCAGCGCAGAGTCTGCTGGAGATTCTCCCTCTCCCTCTGCCCCTCCTGCTTGTGCTCTCTCTCTCAAATAAATAAATAAATCTTTAGATTGTAAGTATTCAGACAAGAAGAAAACAGAGGGACAGTAGATGGGGAAGAAGCCCTTCCGAGGAACTAAATGTCCAGTGGTCTCTGATCGTCTTGCCGTTTTGGGTGTATTGCATCTCGTTGGCCAGCCACCGGGAGCTTTAGGATACCAGTGTGGTAGACTCTGCAGAGCAGAGGTGCCCTAGACTGCTCCTTGATCTGCAGTATTTCTCTCTGATGGCTCTGGGGTTACAGTTAGCCATGCTCTCTGGAAGGATCAGCTGATGAGCCAAGGAGCGTGAGTTGCCTATGAATGGATATTCTGCGCCCTGCCACCTTGCCCTCCAGCATGTTCTCCCCCGTGGGAGCTGGACTGAGGCGCTGTTCCCGCCACCTGTAGCCGGTTCCCGAGGCTTTCTGTGCCAGTGATGCAAACCAAGATTCTAGATGGGCCATGGGGGGTGTGGAGGGGCTTGGCAGAGCCCCACAAAGGTGGGAGAACCCCCAGCTTTGTGTTCACCTGTGAGCAACATTAAGCCAATTCATTGAAAGCCCAGGACAGTACTTGGGAAATGCTCCTATTTGGTCTTCATCCAAGCAGAATCCGATTTGGTATCTTTACTTTTGTTACCATTATGTTGGCATCTTATATGAGCATTTCATAAACAGAGCCAAACAGGCCATTTAGGAGGTAGGGAATGGATTATTTGTTTAGTACCTACCCCGGTGAGCCAGAAAAAAAGGGGGGGGGGGCACAGCAAAATAAAGAAACAGATTATGGCTGCCTAGTGCTGTCTGATGTGTGACTCACCTGCTTGGGTACCTCTCCCTGGCTGTTTTGTGTCTCCCGTCTCTGTCGGGAGGATGCTGTCCGTGTCATCCTTCTGGGGGCTCTATGCTCAGGGTGAGGGGCCCCTTCAGGTCTCGGGCTTGAGTGCTTGGAGATTACTTACCTCCTCGGGTTCACTGTGGCATAGATAATGGTCCACATGCACACTTTAAACTCAGAAGCTGAGGGGTGAATGAATTTCCCAGGGCTGCCATAACAAATTAGTACAAACTTCATAGCTTAAAACAACAGCAGTTTATTCTCTGACAGTTCTGGAGGCTAGAAGTCTAGAAGCAAGTTGTCAGCAGAGCCAGGCTCCCCCTGAAGCTTCTAGGGAAGAATCCTTCCTTGCCTCTTCCGACGTCTCGTGGCCCCGAGTGTCCCCTGGCTTGTGGCTGCCTTGCTTCAGTCTCTGCCTCTATGTCCTTTCTGTGTGTCTCCTTGTCTTCTTATCAGGACACCAGTCATGGGATTAGGGCCCACCCTAAGTCCAGGGTGAGTTCATTACCTCTGCAAAGACCCTATTTCCAATCAAGGTCACATTCTGGGGGTCCAGATAGACATGAATTTTTAGGGGGACCCTTGAGCCCCTGCAAGAGGTTACAGTGAAAATAAGTGTCCCTTCCTCCCCAGATTCCCATAAGCAGCCATGCTACCAGCTTCTTGTGAATTCTTCTGTGGATATTCGATGCAAATATAAACAGATACGTGTGTCAGAATAAAACATATTTTCTTCTGCACACAGTGACTGGTAGGGTACCCAGTGTTCTATAGCCTAGCAACCTTTCTGGAGACTCTCCTTCCATCTTGCTCCTTCCACTAGGTGTGTGTTGTATATTACTATATTACTAGAGTGTATTTGGTGATGGACGTGCAGGTTGTTGTGAGCAAAGAAGTTAAAACAGCTTCGTCTTCCTTTCTTGCCCCTCTCCTCCCCCAGATGCTGCCCTGCAGGTGGACACGGTGGTCCCCAATGCCACAGTGTCCGAGAAGGCAGCTTTCCAGCTGGACTGCAGCATTGTTTCTCGGTCAAGTCAGGACTCCCGCTTTGCCGTGGCCTGGTACTCCCTGAGGACTAAAGCTGGAGGGGAAAGGGACGGCCCCGGCCTGGGCGAACGGGAGGAGGAAGGGGACGACGAGGAGGAGGGGGAGGAGGGGGAGGACCCAACGGAGCGGACGGCCCTGCTGAGCGTGGGCCCAGACGCCGTCTTTGGCCCGGAAGGCAGCCCCTGGGAGGGCAGGCTTCGCTTCCAGAGGCTCTCCCCATTGCTTTATCGGCTCACCGTGCTGCAGGCAAGCCCCCAGGACACGGGGAACTACTCCTGCCGAGTGGAGGAGTGGCTGCCCAGCCCTCAGAAGGAATGGTACCGGCTGACGGAAGAGGAGTCGGCCCCCATCGGCATCCGGGTTCTGGACACAAGTGAGTTTGCCCAGGTTGCAGGGGAAGGATGTCTCTGTTGGCTCCAACGGTCTGGAAGAATAAAATCAGAGCTCGATTATGGGTTAATAAGCAGTTTTCCCACCTGTCATAGGCATTTCGGCTTTGCCATGCCAGTTCGTATAGTTGACCCTCAATTGAGGCTAGGAGTTAAAGTGAGAACATGCCATCCAGTAATCTTCCTAATCAATGCGATGTTCCACCAGATTCTATTTTAGTAAGATTTCATTATCCAAGTATCTTGTGAGATGTGACGGTGTCGCTCTTTAGAATATCCAGCCTCGTCCCCCTTTAGCCAGTTAGCACGTTTCAGACTCAGAAGGAGGACAAAAAATGAAGCCTGAGTGCGTCGCTGCTCTGTTTTTCTCAAGTTCCTGGCTCGTGTGTATTTTGGAGGGTGACTTGGAGGTTGAGCTGGATTCTGCATGATTGGCTGGGATGACCAGTGATACTGCAGGGCCCCACTCACCATCAGCGGCTACTCCAGAAAGGCCTAGAGCTCAGAATTCTCATCAGATCAAGGGACTCCATGGCCAGAGACTGGAAGAAATAATTGCTGACCTGAATGATTTTTTCTCACAAGGCACTCTTTTAAGTTGCCTTCCTATCAAAGTGTGGCATAGAGCAGACTGAAGGTGGTGTTTGTCACCGTAAACTTGGCCTGCAAGGCAGAAATAAAAAATCTGCTGGAAACTGTAACCTCTTTTCCATCTCAACCAAAACATTTCACCGGGTAAATTGATTTGAGGTTTCTCGTTTTGTCAGCTTTTTCTTTTCTTTGACTACCTCCTGTTTAGGAGATGGAACCATATGAAATTGAAGTTTTGTAGGTCAAAAGTGGGTGACTATCAGCAATTTCATATACTTTGGAAATCTAATAAGTGTAAGTGCATGTTGAATTTTCTTAATAATACTGAGCAACAGCTATGCAGTAGAAAGGAAACCAGAGAAAAGCCTAAATCATACTCAGACACCCTAACAATCTACTGAATAACCCAAAAGTACAAGCGAAGGTGTTTAGACCATATTTTATCTGTCCACTGTGGATGTCCCTATTTATTAAGTTTCGTAGTACATAGAGGTCATCCAGCAGCCTTATTTTCCAGAGAAAATGGAAGGTCTCCTGCTGAGGTCTCCTACGCCAGAGCAGACCTCAGCTGGGTCTGGGGCGTGGGGGGAGTGGGTTTCATTCCCTTCAATATCCAGGAATAACTAGCACTGAATTCACTGTGGACATTTGTAAATGGTCCGTAATGGCATTTCAATTGATAATGTTAAGCAAGTAAGCATCATTTCTGGTAAAACTGCTCTCAGAAGCTGGCGGGGGGAGAGAACGGGTCCCGTCCCAAAGAAGGACGTGTGGAGCAGAACTGAGTGCATAGGGACACGTGAAGTATCACCGGGCAGGCAGCGCGGACTGGGGTGGAGTCAGCTGCTCCACCAACTAGATGCAGTTGGGTTCACAGTCAATAAACTGTATTTGGTTCTATGGCTCTCCAAGCACAGTACTGGCTCCCCGTGGGAGATGGAAGCATTGCTTTGAATGAACTTCAGCTGGGAATCGGAAGGGGCGCTGCTGTGTGAACAAGGCTGGGGGGTGGTCTCCCCTCCCTTAGCAGCAGCGGGGGAAGACAGCGTGGGGGGCGGGAGTTGGGTTGGGCTGGGCGAGGGCTTCGGGAACGAGGGCTGGCGGTCCAGGCTCCCAGCCCTCACGGTCTTGCCTCTGTTCCAGGTTCCACCCTGCAGTCCATCATCTGCTCCAATGATGCGCTTTTCTACTTTGTCTTCTTCTACCCTTTCCCCATCTTCGGCATTCTCATCATCACCATCCTGTTGGTGCGCTTCAAGAGCCGGAACTCCAGCAAGAACTCGGATGGGAAGAATGGGGTGCCCCTGTTGTGGATCAAAGAGCCACACCTCAACTACTCCCCCACTTGCCTGGAGCCCCCCGTGCTCAGTATCCACCCAGGAGCCATAGACTAAGGGGAGCCCAGCGGACCTCAGCCACAGAGGAGCTGAGACTCTCCCTTCCTGCCTCTTGCTCTGTGATCACTCAGCAGACGGCACCCAACCTCTGGAGTGCTCTCGCCCGAAAACCGTCAGACTTGAGAAGTGTTCAAAGTCCCTGATCAGTCACAGAGACAGACTGCCTCTCAGTGGCAGTCCTGGTTGGTTAGCTGTTTTGGAGCAGATGTCCTTATCCTGCAGAATTAGGCTCCTTGTTTCTGTTTCCGGTAATGTAGTGAGTAGCTCCAGGTGCCATGACTACTCACTGATTTATATAGTATTCTCATATAGATGTGACAGGGGTTCTTATTCTTTGTAATGGACTCTTTTTAAATCCCTTTGGTTTACCCTTTTTGGATTCCGTAATGTGACGGACAAATTTCTCTTTAAGGTACCACTGATGGCAAAAGGAGGGATGAACTTTATGGCGCAAAGGAATCTCTTCCAAGACTTATTGTTTTTGCATACTTGAAAATGCTACCCACGGATCAGAACACACCCAAACGTTTTCTACTTTCTTAACGAGACTCGAAAATTATGTGTAGTGTGGGCCCAATTTGTATCTTACCTTCTCCCTCTGCTGGAGTGGTTGGAACCACTTTGTAGTCAAGATGAAAGCATTGAATTTTGCTTCAAAGAACTGTGTACGTACAACAGAAGTCCTGCATAACCCCATTAGGAGTAGATGGTGCCTGAGCAGCCTGTCAGGGAGGCAAAGAATAGGCTTCATCCCAAGCTTGCCAAAAAAAACCCCACAAAAACAAAAAACCCACTTTGTTGGAGAATAAGTCAAAAGCCCCAAACAGCACACACTTTGCCAGCTAAAGTGGGCAACGGGCTTCTTTTAGCAGCCACTGACTTTCAGATTGATCAGAGCCAGTGATCAGGGAAGGAAGGACAAAAGGCTAGTTGTTGGCTTGATCTGTTCTGTACCAGACGTCTCTGATAACTGTGAGTGGGTGGGCTTCTATTTTAAGGTGCTTTGCCAAACTCTTAAGGGAAAGTGGCCAGGGAGCCTGAAAAGGGGACAGTGCTGAGCTGACCACAAGGGGCCCAAGCAGCTGCCCACAGGACACCACATACCTGGAGGGCATGGGGCGGGCTGACAGCTAAGCTCCCGCAGGGGTCAGTGGTGGGATGGGGTGGTTTCCAGAGCCTGACCTTGGAGACCAGGGGAGGTATAACTGCCATGCTGGAGGTATGAAGACTAGGTTTTTCTTCTTCCCTCCAGGTAGATTTTCCTCAAAGAGAATGGTGTCTTTCTTATTCACCATTTCTGTCAGCGTGGGTCTTACTGCCATGAGAAAATCTGCCCTGGAGAGGTCCGGACACAGCTCTTTTGTGACCCAGTCAGACGACCTAGTCTCTGCGGGAAGTCATCACATGGCCGTGTGGGTCTTTGCCTTTCCCTTTCTTAGATCTCGTTTGTGGTTTTAGGTGATTTGGTTGTTCATTGTTATGGTGGCTTTTCATTCGAATGCCCACTGAAGCCCAGCAAAGCCAGTGTCACCCTGTTCCTTTACACTATGGGGCAACGTGCTTGGCTCCCCTGGCACGCCGTCATGGGTTACAAGTGTTGCCTTTCGCTCACTCCATGGGAGGAGTGCTTATGCCCTGGCGCTTCTTTCTCTATTTTGCTGGTCAAGAGCACCATCTCCTTTCCTCTTGAACTTGCATCTTGAATCCCCAGGGAATTCCCAGTTTAGAAAAAGCCACCAGGGATTCTGGAGCTAAGTCTAACCAGAGAGATGATTGTCTGTTCTGAGGCTGAACAGACTCCCTGGGAGGCCAGGTGGGTGCCAATCCGTATCGGGGTCCGTGGGGATGCTGGTGGTGTGGGTGCTCAGCAGACGCTCTGCTGTTGCGCAGTTGAGGGGTAGCAAGACCACCAACAGGCTTGTGGAGAGCTGCCTCCCTTTCTTCCCCCCGCACCAGTACTCTCCTATGAGACCGTGTGCAGGTACCACCACCTTCATTCCTCTGTTGCCTGAAGTGCTCATTCCCATTTAGTACAAATACTGCATCAATGCCTCGGAGGTACAGAGTCCACCTGCTCGGCCGTGAGGGAAGAAGGCAGTCCTTTGCCCCATTTCTTCCTTTCCCGCGCCGGGGTTTTCTGTGGAAAATTGGCCCCTAATTGGTAGCCTGAGTCAATGAGGGAAGATGACTTACTTTCCTCTGTGAGAAGGGGAAGATGCCAGAGGGCTGGCCGGGACTGGGCGTATAAGGACTAAGAAGAGTTGACTGTGCATTGGTTCACAGCTGTAGAAAAGTAGGTAATGCACGGAATTAAATATGTGAAGCAGTTGCAGGAAATGTGAAAGGAAGAAAAGAAACCGAAGCCAGTATTTTAATAATTGGTCGCCCCTCCCCCCCCCGTGTATTTTCTATTGGGCTGGGGAATACCATCAAAGGGTGAGCTTTTCAGCTTTCTGTGAAAATCCCCAGGACCTTGTTTGGCCATTTCTATGGAAATGTGGTGTCAGATGAGTGGTAATGGTGCCCTCCAGTGGCTGGAGACCTCATTGTACACGGCTTCCGGGAGTTCTAGGCCATGGACCAGGAGAGGAAAACTACCAGCTGTACTCTTGACTTATCTACAGCTACAATGTTGCATTCATGAAAAACTACGCGGTGCTAGGCCCATCCCAGGACATGGATATGACCACACCCTCCTTCATCAGGGTGTCTCTGTAGCAGGTTTTCATATTCTTTTCAAACAATGGTTTCTCTGCGTTTATTGTTGAAAAAACAGGTAGGGTAAGAAAACTACCCATGCATGATGTAGAGAGCTGTTGATTTGTTTTTGGTTTGTTTGTTTGTTTTGGTTTTTGGTTTTTTTTTTTAAAGGAGAACTATTTGTAAAATGTTGCACTAAAATGTTTTATATACACTTCAGAGACCTGTAGTAAATTATGTTGAAAATATGGCTGTTTACAGTTACTGGAGCCCAGTGTCCTTCTTTCTCTTAACCGGCCTCTCTCCTCCGTGAAACTGTGCCTTGGGAGCATGGAGTTCTGCCCCTGGCGTTGTGTTGGCCTGCTAGGCTCAAGGGTCAAGAACTGCAGCCTTTATTACCCCGCCCTGCCCCCAGCCTAAAGAGTGCCTTTGTACAAATGATGGGGACAACAAAACAAAACAAAAAAGCCTTTCCCAAGACGCTTTACTGCCATCTGCTGAAGATGAATCATAGTAAATGTACACAACTACCCCGTCAAGGCCATACTGCCCCCAGATCTGTGCACACACCACACACCTGGAGGCCTGATAGGCAGGTTCAGAAGGCAGAGCTTAACCAGCTTTCCTTTTTAGGGGGATGGGACAGGAAGGGGTGGGAGGAGACTGATGGAGGAGTGCAGGAACAGGGAATAACCTTCCCCTTGCCTACGAAGGGCCTCCACAGCAAGACCACACCACCTTTCCCAAACGATGGAGTGTTGTCCCGACCTGAACTTGTCAGCAAGCATCTTCCAGGATACAGGAACCGCACAGGAGCTGTGTCTTCCTGCTCAGCGTGCCTTCCTGCACAGCAAGGCAGTCCACGTTCCCCGCGTCCCTCGAATGCTGGTGTGGTACGGAGGAGTTTGCCACCTCTGCAAAATGAGAATGACAGAATGATTAAAACCACAGCAGTGATACATGATCTGTAATTCTTTACATTGTACAGAATATGCAAAAGAAAAATGCAGGTAAAAAGCAGAGGGAGGCGCTTCCTTTTCTCTTTAAAAATCCAAACCCTTCAGAGGTTTTAATCTGTGCTTTCCTCTGTTCTGCAGCCGCATCTGCTGCATCCTTATCAACTTCTTGCAGCTGCTGGCCTGGCCAGGAGTTGAAATGGCGATTGTGTTTATCCCTTGGGTACCCAGAATGCTTCCATGTTACGTCTTACGTTCTACTTTTGCCTAATTTTTCTCCCAAATGCTCTCTTTCTGCCAGGAAACATTTTAAAAAGGGAAATGGAGTATTGTGGAAGAAGATTACCCATCTACGCCTTTGGTGCAAATTTGCCCAGTGTTTATATAAGGGAAGGGAATGTACATTTCTATGAGAGGCAGGGACAATTTCCATGTATGCAAGATTAGGAGCAGTGTTTTGCTCAGCTCATCCTGGGATTTCTAAGTTTCCTGGGGGTAGTTCCAAGGTTGGCAAGAACTAGAGCCAGAGTACCAGAGAGGGACATGCTAGGAAGAGTAGCAACCTCAGGCCACGTGAGCAGGTTGGATGAGCCCTCCTTTCTTGCCTCTAGTTCATGATTTATCTATAGTGACAAGCAGATAAGACTGGACCTCAATACTGGCCACAGGATGAATAATACATCCACTCTCCTTTTGGGGGGCAAGTCTTCAGTATACGAATAGAGCCTTTTTGGCCCATTGCCTAACTCAGGTCCACCTTTCTGAGCCACTTTTGACTCACGAAGTCTGCTGGACCATGCACAGAAGCTCCTCTAAAAATGCTTGGTAGAAGGGAGTACCTGGCTGGCTCAGTCAGTAGGGCGTGTGACTCTTAATCGAGGTTTTGGGTTCGAGCCCCACGTTGGGTATAATGTAAATATTTCCAAAAAATTGCTTGACAGAAGCCCAGCATTTCTCTTACTGAAAAAGCTGGCACTGCTCGTTGGTCTTGGTCAGAGGAGCATCTAACCAAAGAAGACCTAACAAATCATTCCTCACCCAAAGGCTGGAGACCATGACCTGAGGCATACTTCCCAGCCCCACGTGACTGGGCAGAGCTTTCCCCAGCCATGCTGGGTTGACAGTGCCTGCTGGCTAATCCAATCAATAGCATGGCCGCCTATCCAAAAGTTGCATCCTGTTCATGTATGAGTGGGTAAGAGTGGCACTTTAGATTTAACTTCAGTTGGACTCCCAGGTCTGCCCCTTACTGTGTATCCTTGGGCAAGTCATTTACCTTCTCTGAGTCTCCGTTTCCTCATCTTTGAAAATAGGGAGAACAAGAAGATTAAATTAATTCGGGTAATGCACTTTAACACAAGGCCTGGCTTGGTAAGTGCTCAGCAGATGTTTGCTGTTATATCACTTCTCAGTTCAAAAACATTCAGAGGCTCTCCAGCGTCTAAAAGTTTGACCCCCATCCTACCTTTCTCAGTTGGCTTGAGTTCCCACCAGCTCCGAACAGAGCAGAAACTTGATTTTCTCACATTTTGTGCTATACGCTGCACCTGCCTCAGGTTCTCAATATTTATAGATGGTAGGGAATGTTTTAAGGTAAGAGGCTTCCTGGTACATGACATTGGTCCCAGAAATCTCACTGACAGAAATACCTTTTAAGATTTAAGGTATTTTTTTTTTAAAGTATGCTCCCCACCCAGCGTGGAGCCCAACACAGGGCGTTCTTGAACTCACAACCCTGAGATCAAGACCTGAGCTGAGATCAAGAGTCAGGTGCTTAACTGAGCCACCCAAGGCGCCCCTAGATACCTTTTAAGACCTTATGCCTGACTTAAGAACTAATGAATTCTTACAGTACGGCTCAACTGTCTTGAGTGGTTTTGTGATCCTCACTTGAGGATGATGGAGATGACAGCAACAATAAAGCACATTTCCACTCAGTTTCACAACTGACACGTTGATGTTTATAAGGACAGCAAGGTGTCCTGTTCACCTGAAGAGCTTCAGAGTTCCCTTAGCTCCCACAGCTGGGCAGGGGCAATTCATGTGCTTCTCTTTGAAAGGGGTCAGACAGGGAAGCCACGTGAGGAGCTGGTTCTGGGAGTTATTTGGTCTGGGGTCAGATTTGAGGGAGGACAAGCCCATCGAGAAGACTAACCACCAGGGGGCGCCTGGGTGGCGCGGTCAGTCAAACCGCGGCCTTTGGCTCTGGTCCTGGAATGGAGCCCCAAGTCCGGCTCCCTGCTCAGCGGGGAGTCTGCTTCTCCCCCCGGCTCGTTCTGTCTCTCTCAAATAAATAAATGAATGAACGAACGAACGAATGAATAAATAAAATAAATAAATAAATCTTTAAAAAAAAAAGACTAACCACTAGCATGTTGTGTTCCAGGTGCCTTTCGCAGCTGGGGCGGGAGGTTTCGTAGGAGGCCGAACAGTGAGGGGGCGACCAGACCTGACTCCTTAGCCTAAGGGAAAGTCCACAGCTGAGATGGAGGAAGAGGAAAACAAAGAGGAAACTGAGAAGGGAGAAACCCAAGGCTAGAAGTCCCAGCTCCGGGGAAAGAGAAGGTTGGGGGTGGGGGGGGGGCAGGCTTAAGGAAAAGCTAGTCTGAACTTGAGTGGGACCGGCTGCACCAGGTACCCCCCCCAACCCCGCACGGTCTAGCAGTTGCCCACAATGTC